TAGTCTCCAGAACTGTGACTTTGTCACGAGAGACAAGAGACACACTTTCATGTCGCATCACAGTTGATGCAAATACCCCAAAATATCATTTTCACTCCTCCCTATGCCAAAATTATAATTGTTAGAACTGCTGTTAGATTTTGTTACTTAGCGAGTTATTAAAGAAGCGCACTACTATATCATAAATTTACTTACTATTTTGATGGCCTACATTTCAATACAATTGATTGCCTCCGTTATCCTGTGTATTTTTATTTATGCATTTTTAAATGTTATCCTCAGAAGGGGTGCACGGGCTTCACCAGACTGCCAGAAGGATTCTGGACCGCACAGAGAAAGTTCAGAACCCCTGTTTGGTGAAGTGAAGGTGTAAGCACTATAGCCAGACGAACCTGGATTTAAATCCAGATTCTGCCAATTTCTAGTTCTTCTCCTTTGAGCAAAATGATTTAAACTCCCTGAGCCTTGAACTTCCCCATTTCGACTTAGGGAGCCAATCCAGGAACAACGGCTACCTCGCGAAACCATCCGTTCATGGAAACGGTAAATGAACACCCACTTGCTCCGTGCCAGGTGGAAGGCTGAGCTCCTAAGCTAAAGAACATGACGGCACTTTAGAGAGGAGGTCATGCCACACGAATTGTTTGGCAGTGACGGGCATTCTATGAGCATTCCATAAACCCCATAGCACCACTGCTAAAACCACACTTGGTGCTTGACGACATTCTGATTTTATGTTGCCTCCCACGTATAACTGTGGGTTCACCAAGCTTACATCCTCCCAACGTGGCTTCTTAGGGTACAAGGGCTGGGCCTCACTGAGGGAGCAGCAGCTTGTTAGACTGAAGAACACAGGATCTGGAACCAAATGGTCTTAGCTTCCAATCCCTGCTCTGCCACTTGCAAGCTCTGTGACTATGCCAGAGACTACTACCTGTCCCTCAAAGTCTGTTCTCTCCTTCCTCTATAGTAATGGAACCCCTTGATTTCGGCTGCGCACATGGACACTCAGAATTAAGGATAGTTCTCCGCCTCCCTTGCAGCAACGTATGGTCATGTGATCAAGTTCTAGCCAATGGGGATGTAAGCATAAGTGATGTGTGCAAGTTCCAGGAAGTGTCCTGAAATTAAAAGGGCCTGCCCTTCACCGGCGTTTTTATCCTAGCACAGCCATCTGGGACTAGGAGATGACCTTGGGAATGGAAGTTTGCACATGGAGCACCATTTCTAGCTAGTACAGTAGGGCAAGTTCTTTAATCTCCCTGGACCTCCATATCCCCATCTACAAAAAGGGGATAATACAAGCTACCTACCCGGCAAGCTTGTTCTAAGGACTTAGAGAGAGAGGGCTTGCTTCACAGCAAGGGCCAGAGTTAAGAGAGATGATATTACTATCACTATTGTTCTTCTCTGCTGCAATGAAAAATACTGGAAATCGGGACATCTTAACACAGCTCTGGGTACCCAGAGGTGGCCCAATGATTTGCACAGTTGAAAGGCATCCTGGCCACTCCAGAGCCCCAGATGAGAACTCCCTTCTCTGGCATCCTTGTCCAATGGCCCCCAGGAAAGGGAAGTGTACTATCTCTGAGATAACTATTAGGACAGGGGTGTTTGTTCATCCATAAATCATGATCCTCATCTTCTTCCTTCAGAACCCTTCCCCTGACAGCCACCAAACGACCTCACTGCTCTACGTCCCCCTTCTTCTCTGCCTTTGATCACTGCGGTCCTGCCTCTACGCTCACTCCCACCAACACATCAAAGTTCCTTTCAATCTTTTTGGAAGCGCCTTCTGGCCTCTCGCCGAAGAAGGCTTCCCTAACTAACTGGGAAGTTAGCGGTCGCTTCCTGAGTCCCATCCTATCTCAAACTCTACAAATGAAATTCTCTCCCACCGCAGAACACAAACGATCGTTAGCAACAGACATGTTCTCCTGCATCGATCCAGCCCCGATCTCCTACATTTTTCACTGCTAACGTTTTTAAAGCTATTTCATCTTGTTTGCCACATCAGCACTGATGCGGGAGGCATAACTCTTCGTGGCGATGCGAAATCGAAATTTGCTTTATGTGCCTGACGCTCATCTTCATCTTTCCTGATGATTCCCTTCCTGTTCCTGCAGACACAAATCCTGTCCCGTCTCTCCCACATTGCTGTCATCTTTCCATGTCACTGTCACTCACGTAGGCTGCTCCCAGACACAGGCACAGCCACAACCACCTCCCCTCGCCGCAGGCCCTCTCTTACACACTCACCCCACATTCGCACTGGCCCCTGCGCTCACTCTCTCTCTCTCTCACATCTTCTGCCCTCTGGCTCCACCCATTCCCAGTAGCGGAGACTTTACTATTCTCATGGCTTGACCAGGTCCAGGCTTACGATGCCTTAAGGCTTGGAACAAGGGTGGCTGTGGCAGCCAATGGCTCTCCAGTTGGGTGGGGGACCCCGAGGTGCAACAGGAAGAAACAAGACACAGTGGTCGCGAGGGCAGAAATCAGTACCCAGACAGGCAGAAAAGGAAGAACGTGATCCCAGAGATGGCAAAGGAGGAAGGCAGAAAGACCTAATGATGTCAAATGGTCACAGCATCTTGGATGTACCCTGCACACCATCCCCCACATGCTGTCACGGGGTTTTCTAACTCAAACTGCCGTTTCCAGAGGCTGGCGGCACCTGGGTCAGTCTCACTTTGCAGAACACTTAGCCTTACCCTGCTTTTTACAAACAAACTCACATGGGCATAAAACCTACGGATTCTTTACCGTTTTAAATTCACATTACACATTAATTTGCAATACCCAGCAAGAATGCTGCTGCATAAATCAGATCACACCAGACCGCAAGCAGGAAATAAGACCCCAACATAGGTTTTGGCCCCTCCCCAAACACCATCTGCTCTCCAAACAAAGTAGCAGCGAGGCCCCCTCCCCACCATGCTGAGAGCCGTCCAGGGATGAGAAGAGAGGGGGCTTCGCCAGCGGAGCTCAGAACACCAGGCAGAGATTACCATGCAAGTCCACAGTCCCAGAGCTTCCTGCTCTCACGCGTCTGGTCTGGCCTTCCGCCACCGTCCCTTCCATGCCACCTTGACACTCATTCTCCTCCGTGGCACCTGCTTATACATGAGGCTGGGAGTAAAGGGCAGATGACAGTGCCGGATGCCGGGGCCCAAGCTCCAAGCCACGGAGTGGCCCAGCGAGGGACCAGCAGGCAGGCAGCCTTACGTTTTACAGCACTTCCTGTCGGCAGAGGACAGGAGACACAAAAGGCACCAATGTCACATTTCCTTGTTTTCCCACTGGTGGTTCCTTCTGCCCTGGTCCCCACCCTACCAGTCAGGCCTCCTCCCGCCTTAGCCGCCCCACCGGCCCACAGCCAAACCTCCTGGAGGGCCTTCCTTGTTTGTCTTCTTGAATCCACATGAATCACTAATTACTGATTTCAATCCAGACACTAAGTGAAAGAGAAACACGGTGTAACAAATACCAATATTTAGGGCTGGTGCACAGAGAGCTACCTGCCTCCGTACGTCGGCCTCAGCACACAGGAGACAGAGAGACACCTGGGCAGAAGGCTACGCTTCCAGACCCGGTGTGCGTGTGTGCTGGGGCGGGGAGGGCAGACACTAATGAACTCACGCCGGTTCCTTAACTTGGCTATACACTGGAGTCACCTGAGAGAGCTCTCCCAGAGAATCTGGTTTCATTGGTCTGGGGCTGCTGCCTGGATTTTTAAAGGCTCCCCCAGTGACTCTAACATGCACCCAAGTCTGAGAACCGCTGACTGAACACATTTATTGTGTTGTCAAGATGTTCAGAACACCTTATAGCCTTTCCCTGTCAAGACAGCCCTGGAGGTATCGTCCTGTTTTACTGAGATTCAGACATCAGTCCTGGTAAGGCTGAGACTGGAACTCAGGTCCTCGAATTCCAAAGTCCATTTTCTTTCTACCCCTCTGTGAACTCCTGCAGGGGTGTAGACAATGCATGAAAGCAATCTCCACTGCCAGCAGGTCACAAATTCCATGAATGCAAGACACCTAGATTTGGAGATGCAAACACCATCGGCAGCAGTGATGACCTCTCCCGAATGCAAGGGACCCAGCCTCAGAGAGGACAAGGGGTGTGCTCATATGGGAGGTCTGACGCAATGGAGAGACAGATCCTGGCCTGGGAGCTTGACCTAGACCCAAGATACCACACTTAAGTCGGTGCCCAGTGGCATGGAAAGTACTGTTGAATTTGAGAATGGACAAGTGTTGGGCAAGGGGGGGGCTCTTCATTGGGGAAAGAATCCTTAAGAGGGGTGTCAAGGGTTCGCCTCTGGGAGCCACAGTTTCTAGTTTCTCCATCCGCTCTAAGCATTCTGAGCTTCTGTGGGGAACACAAAACCCAATCCTAACACACCCCTAACAGGCAGCTTCTGTTCCTCTAGCCTCACGTCCAGAATAATGATGCAAGCTCTCTCGGTGAGGAGACACATGATGAGCGCCTTCAAACATTTTCTGTCTCCAAACTCCTCAGGAAGGGCAAAGCATCCCGTCAGCCCCCTTTCCCAACCACGCCCACCTCCCCCTCAAGATAAAGCACCATCAACACCGAACCAACTTTCCCGACAGTCGGAATAACGTGCCACGACCGTCAGATTAGGAATTACTGTGGGCCAAGCACCAAGTTGATAATACAAGGAAACACCCTACAATCCACACGGAGTCCCTAAACCACCAACGTGCAGGTAGGGGACCTTAGTTCTGCCAGGCCTGGGACACACGCTTTAGGGACAGCAAATGCTCCTTCCCACAGACAACGAACAATATTCCTCCTGGATCAGACGTGGGTCTCTTGGTACTCTCTCCCAACCTGTGTCACACACCGGCTGCCTCCCGGTGTCTGTCCCTCGAAGCCCAGTGCTGATGGGAAGGAGCCACGAGGAATTCCAGGAACCGAGAGCGGGTTAAACTTTCCCATCGATCGCGCGGAGGAGCAGCAGCACTTACCCAGCACAGCCAGACAGCTGAGCACCAGGAAAAAGCACTTCATGTCGGCAGCGGACCGAAGACACGGCACAGGGCGCTTCCACTGCTCCCGGCACTTAATCTCTCATCTCTAGCAATCCACTTAGACCTCCGGGGGACAGTTTTGGAAACAGAACTTAACTCAGAAAATAAGAATAGGTTCAAGAGAAGAGCTCAGCAGGAGGGAGTCCGCGGAGGGCAGCGGGCGGCATGGGTTAAACTCCCCTGTGCAAAGAAAGGGTCCAGAACGCTTCTGCAGGAGCTCTAGGCTCCTGCGACATCATGTGCCTCGCGGTGTCCACTGGAATTGTAGATTGCGGTGGATTAATCCTCAAGGAAAAGAAGGGGAAAGTCTGAGGAAATCCTTTCATGCGCTGATTATACAGAAATGTCCTTGGCTTCCCAGTGAAGGTGTCTGCAATCTCCCTCGGTCGGATTCCCCAAAGGGAACGGGGCAGGTTTTGTCAAAACCTTTGAGAGCCACATCGCCCTGGCCGGCGTCGACCGTTTTTGCTTTCCTCATCAAAAAGTCGCTCCGCATCCATGCCGGCAGGTCACGGAGCCGCCCCCTGCCCCGGACCTGCTCGGACCACGCGAGGCAAGTTGGCGTTCGGCTCGTCCCGAGGCGGCCCCCCAAGGCCGGCGGAGCCCTGGAACAAACACAGCGGGGGTTCACCGCGGG